CAACCAGCCAACCAACCAACCAATATATTAGTAAATCCATCAAACCAACTAACTGTCAATCAAACAGACAACCAGCCAACCAATCAACCAATATCTTAGTAAATCCATCAAACCAACTAACTGTTAATCACCCAGACAACCAGCCAACCAATCAACCAATCCATCTATTGATCAATCAATCAATCTATCTATCAATCACCAATCAATTAATTAATCTATCGATCAATGCAATTAACCAACCAACCATTAATAAATCCTGACTACCAATCATGTCACTTATCTGACCAAACCAATCAGTCAAAAGGAAATAAAAAAGACCACAAGAAACAATACCTTTGCTTTAGTAGTTAATTGTTCAGCCAGTTCATCAACCTCCGCACTTGACTCCATACTNAGACAGGGAGGAGACAGGGAGGGTCTTACCGAATGTATAGATGATCCAATGACGACTACACCCTGTCCTCTGCTACCTTCACCGTTCTTGTACGCCATGATTCGTACTGCTGCTACACTCTTTGCCACGTTAAGTTCCTTAGCGATTGTTCGTGCACTGCCTTCGTTACGTAGTCTGTCTAGCTGGTACTCCCATAGCTCTAGAGTAGATTCCGCTTCGAGACTCGATAGGTCCACCTGGTATACAATACACGGGCTTAGCTGTAGAGCTACTGACAGTAAGCACATTACACTTTGATCCCCTTATCATCGCGTTGTCTTATTATACTTCAAAGTGCCTCAGACTCGACAAAAATGTAAGTTAAGGCATGGAGTTTGAAGGTGTTTAATGAGTTAACGATGTTGTAGTTCACTGGTGCTTTGTAAGAGGGTCATACCTTGCTATTCAAACACTTAAAACATCCTGTAAACTTGCTRTCATGACCATTACCACCTGACAGAAAATATCATATACATCAATTAACATCAYATAGAGGATATTGTACGGGCAGCGCGGATATACGGATTTTATCTTCGGGCATAGAAAAGCATTTATTCCCATGTTATTTGYAATTTACATCGACATACAATCGAACCTCCGTCTAAACGGTCGCACCAGGAAAAGCGCCATAGACCTTAATACAAGTCTAGTTTACAGTTAATATACATAAACAGCGAATTTCAGAGACCGTTCTATGTAGGGTGACCGGTAAATATAGGCTCGCTTAATAGAGTTTCGAAAGATTATTACCAAGGGCACAAGCAAATCTCTTGCTTTCCTTGAGTCTCTGAAGTTTGTTTCTCCCTCGTGATGCTTTACCACATGCCTCACACAGCAGCCTTTGACGGGATGACCCTTGCATATAGACATATCCCTATACCACATGCCTCACACAGCAGCCTTTGACGGGATGACCCTTGCATATAGACATATCCCTATACATGAAATACAATATGCACTTAATTATACAGACATAGACCTACACACAAAATACAATATTGTTGTATATGATTATATAATGTGTTATATAATATCTGGAATTTACGCGTCGGGTCCCATGAGACGTAAAATAGACTATTTAATGGCGCATACGAGACAAATAAAAGACAGACCAACTAAAACGCTTCCACTGTGTATTTACTCTTCGTAACATTTGGTAGCAGAGCAAGGTTCTCGATTTTCAAGTCTACAGTGATTATTCTTCTCAAGTTTATTTATCAAGGTCT